GTTACATAGTTGAAGTAGTTCTAGAGAATTTGTGTCTACACTTAGTCTATCTGAAATGTCACTTTAAAAGCTGTAGTTTGAATGTCAAAGGAGTTAATTGCCAGGTTGCTGTTGACAAACTTATTGTTCATTTTTAATTATTTTTTTTTCAATACAACACAGTAAGTTTTTCTTTATTATTGAGTTGATGTGTATGCCTTTGGCAAAGCTAACATCTGCCTTATCCTCTTGCCTTTTCAAAATCAAAGCTGATACCTGTGACAGTAATACAATACGAAATGTGTACATCAGCATGTGCCTCCTACAAATAAAGACTTGTTGTTTTTGATACACTGTGGTTAAATTCGTAATAATAGCTCCGTAGTCTTGTGGTTTTAGCATCATTTTTTTTTTTGGCCGATTTTTTTTTCGCCCTCTCGCATTAGTTTTGGGGTCTTCAGAGGTTGTCATCCATAAAATTAAATCAGTGTGGCCTAATTACACGCTCCTAGAAAAGGGGGAAGTCCCTGGATGCTGCCACGTTTTACGCATGCGCAACCACAGTTTCACGCATTGTGATGTCTGTGTGTTACTGTATGAAATATGCTAGTACACATTGAGTACACACCTGTACGCACTCAACATGGCATGATTCCAACCCATGCATCTCAAAGATATATGACGTCATTATGTTGCCAAGATACCAGATATATTTCCATGATTATAACTAAGTGAAAATCAAAGATGATTCGCTTTTAGTTTTATTTTTGCTTTCGTTCGACTTTGCTCAATCGCTCTTGTTTTATTTTGTAGACCAGTTTACACAGACGACCCAGAGGCTCCAGTGGGGCCGGCGTTGACTGCTGAATGCCATCCGCATCAACATTTGGAGATCCTCGTTTCCAAACCGTACTCCATAGCAACGGTGAAAACGATTTCAAAGCAAAGAAACGAACAGGAAAAAGTCGCTAAGATCAGTACAGGAGGCAAACTACGAATGACTACAAGGCACGATTTGATTCAAAAGAAGCGTAAACGTACACGAATGAATTCGCCAGATATATTTGTGACGGAAAAAAAGAGTATCGTGCCAGGGCCAACGAAGAGCAGACACTGGAACTTGCCCGCAAAAGGAAGCCTCCGGGTTTTAGTTGAATATTTAAAAGACTCGAGCAATAATAGGACTGACCAGGGCGGGCTGGAACCGGATTTAATAGAATTGCTGGACTAAATTGTCTTTCAAAGACAGGCCATAATATGTACATAGATTTTATTCACATGTCCTTGGACCTGTTGAACTGCTCGGAGTGACAGAGTACGCTCATTTGTTTGCCATAAAAAATACGAAGAACGATACTCGTTTGTCGTATTAAGGGGGCCTATGCATTGCGTACTAGTACATTCCTAAAACATTGGTGCTAAAGTGTCAGCGTTCTTTCTAAGTTCAGTAGCATATTCGTGCCATGATATTCTGTGCACAGTTTGTTGAAAAAAAAAATGTGAAAAACTCGTTTGACTAATTAAAGGGCGTGGAAATGTTGTCTATTTCCATAACCTTTGTGTAAAACACGTCCATTCTGACTTCAAAATGTAGCAACATTTGTGTCAGGACTTTTTTGTTATATTATTACAGTACGCTCATTACGCTCAACAGTTTGCTGTGAAAAAAATATGAAAAACGAAGCTCGTTTGTCGAATTAAAGGGACGTATACATTACATACACTTTCATGACATTGGTGCTAACAAAATTTTCTGGCCCAAAAATGACCACCGTAGCATATTTATGTTTTATAATTGCGTAGACAATCATGCGTAGACTGAGTTAATTCATTTATGAACATTTTCCAACAAAAATCATTGAAAACAAAAAACGTTTGCAATGACTAGTTTCATCCAAAAACGAGCTATTTAGGTCAGTGCAACTGGCAAAAAAATGAATGTTTGATTTTAGTAATAAATATCGTTGTTATAAACATGTAAATAAAAGAAAGTACTATATCAATTATGCTTATTTATCCGACTACAGTCCGCCTTTCAGTTTATGTCTGCTTCCCTTCACAGTCATATTTCCATTCTCCTTCCCAGAGCTCATTGCGGTTAGATAGTAGAAATATACAAGTAACTGCGCGGGAGATTGGGCTAGCTCAGTACACTGGTTCCCGTCGAATTCCCGCATAAAGACTTAGATGGGTGGCCGTTTTATAGTAATATTATCAAAATTCTGTCATCCGACTCCCCAATATAGAGTCTGGGGACCAATAATATCACTAGTACAGTGCCTATACCCTGCTACAGTCACCCATATTTACCGGATGACAGATTAGGCCAAAAAAAAAACTTATGTTGCCCTCAAGTCGGAAAATTGAAAGTCGCCACTTATCCCCCAAACAACTGTCCGGGATCGTTAATTTTTAGAGGAAACACTTTTTTACTGCTTAAAATGGTGAGTTTTTAATATTTGGGCCTATTAGATCAATTCCTTTTATTAATTAGCTTCCATATTTTTCACTAATACTAAAGAAGAAACACAGACTCGGATACGACATTCGGCCACCGTGAAATGCACGGTAATATTCGTGTGTATGATGCGAGCTATACGCTCTCAGTATTATGTGAACATAGATTTTCAACCGTTCACACGTTTGAAAACATACCAACTATATTTCTCTAAGGTAAGAACTGTGAACTGATAATAGAGACTTTGGCAATGATTTCAAGATTTTGCACAGACTCGAGTCGGAGGCTACTTGCCGGTCTCTGTGCGGTGCGTCGAAAGAAGTGGCGTTTGGCATCGAATACTGTGCCTGCGTCAAATACGCATTGTAACCGAATCAAGCGGTAGTCTACATAAATAAATAGACCAACTGTAGTTTTTGCTCAGTACTCGGCCACATACCGAAGACAATCCTGGCAAGTGGAATCTGTAGAAAGGTCGCCAAAAACATCAGGAACACAACGCTACATTTTACTTACGACCAGTTGTCCCATAATACGCCAATTTTGATTGGGCACATGCTTTAGAGGCGCCTTCTAGTCTATTCTATGAGATCTATGGATTTTGCCGAGGTAAGTACGCGACTTGTCAGTGCAAACCACGGGTTCGTTGGAGAGTAAGTTTAAATCGAGCTCGCGAAACCACAGGGAGCCCAGGAACTACAATCAACTGTAATACGCAGTCTCTATG